TCCTTCAAAGAACGATTGAAGGAGACCCTTTGGCCCATCCACACAAGCCCCCTCTCCCCCCCCCCCCCCCTCTCTCTCTCTCTCCCCCCCCCCCTGTTCTCTCTCTCTCTCTCTCTCCCCCCTCCCGCCTCCCAGCTGAGCCAGCATATGAAGTTGAAGTTACAGTTCACAGCGAGTGTGACAAACCCTCCCCCTGAGGCCCGGCCCGTTTCACGCAGGAACAGCCCGAGCAGCCCTGCTGTCCGCGACCTTATGGAACGTCACCAGGCCAGCCTGGGCCGCTCGCAGTCCTTCTCTCACCAACAACCCTCCCGGAGCACTCACCTCATCAGGTAAGGCCACTGCGGCTGCATGCAGCTACCAGCTCTCAGCGCTGGCTCCTTCCCCGGACCCGTCATCCCCTACACCCCTTCCCTATCTCTGTCACCCCCTGCAGCCCCCTACACCCCCTCCCTATCTCCGTCACCCCCTCCAGCCCCAATACCCCCTCCCTATCTCCGTCACCTCCTCCAGCCCTTACACCCCCTCCCTATCTCTGTCACCTCCTCCAGCCCTTACACCCCCTCCCTATCTCTGTCACCTCCTCCAGCCCTTACACACCCTCCCTATTTCTGTCACCTCCTTCCTCCACCGTGACCATCCCCCCGACCCCATAACCATCGCTCCACCGTGACCCCTCGACCCCATTACCATCGCTCCACCGTGACCATACCCCACCCCGACCCCATTACCATCGCTCCACCGTGACCCTCTGACCCCATTACCATCACTCCACCATCACCATACCCCACCCCGACCCCATTACCATTGCTCCACCGTGAACCCTCTGACCCCATTACCATCGCTCCACCGTGACCATACTCCACCCCGACCCCATTACCATCACTCCACGGTGACTCCCCCACCCCATTACCATGGCTCCACTGTGACCATACCGCCCCCGACCCCATTACCATCGCTCTACTGTGACCCCCTGACCCCATTACCATCGCTCCAACGTGACGTTCAGTTATGCCTTCAGGCCCCAGTCTCCATTTCTCACTGAGTCCCCTCCAGGGCTGGATTGGATTGAGGAGTCTGGATTTGAGGAGGGCGGGGGATGCCTCAGAGGGTGGTGCTGCTCGAGGGGCCGACACAGATCGCCCCAGTTGGAGTGAATTCAGATTTTGAAATCAGCGCTGTGTGCATCAAGTTCGAGCAGTCGCAATTTCCAAAGGACATTGGGGTCAGGACCTCAACCCAAAGTGATATCGCTCTCCATCTCCTTCAAAGAACGATTGAAGGAGACCCTTTGGCCCATCCACACAAGTCTGCTGGCTCAACTCCCTTGCCATTTCCCCATTGCCCAGTTCACTTCGTCGCTTGTCAATCGCCCAGCTCCCTCCTGAAAGTCACAGTTAAACCTACCTCCCTCTTACTGTCAGTGTGTTCCAGATCCGAACCATTCACCATGTTTATGCTAAAATAAAGCTGCTTCCTCACCTCGCCATCACCTCAACTCGGGGCCCTCTGCTTCCTAACCCGTTTTTGTCAACGGTGACGGTTTCTCCAAGTGTCCTCCCCCATTTTATCCCCCTCCCCCCCCCAAAACTCCCCCAGCCCGTTTGCTGTCTGGACCTCCACCCATTGGGAACAATCCCGAGCTGCCTCGTGTTAGCTGCATGATCTTTGCCCTGCCTCCTCAGTGACCTGGCCTCTCTGCTTCTTTCCCCCCTCCAAAACTCAGGACCGGGAGCGTGATGGAACGCCGAGCGATCACACCCCCCGTGGGCTCCCCCATTGGCCGCCCCCTCTACCTCCCCTCGGAAAAGGCCGTGCTGTCTGTTGACAAGATTGCCAAGCGAGAGTGCAAGGTGCTGGTGGTGGAGCCTGTCAAGTAGGGTCGGCGGGGGGGGAGGGGGAGCCATGATGGGGGATTGGGGGAAAGGGGGCGTCTGATAAAGGGTTGGTGCTGCTGTTGCTCTGCCTCGAACAAAACAGGACAGCGCGAGGCGCCTCGCTGCTTACTCATCTGGGGGGATAAGCCCCGTTTCCACTTCCGTAATCCTTCCTGTCACGTTGGCCCTGGGAGGTCCATCGGCTCCTCACTTTTCGGACCGTAAGCCTGCGCGTGTGTCTCGCATCTGATGATCCCGCTCGAAGCGGTCAGTGATGTCCAGATCGTGGGGGGGTGGGGGTGGTGGTGGGGGTTGGGGTTGGGGTTGGGGTTGGGGTTGGGGGAGTGGTGCAGAATCGTGTCCCTCTGTAGATCGGCAGCGGTCGCGCTCCACCTTGCAAGCAAAACGGTTCAGCCTCGTGTTTGGAGGGCAGCATTCGAAATATCAAACTCTGACCTACCCCACAAATGTTTGGGCTCAATTCCAGCCAGCGCTCTCAACACCACCCCCCACCCGCCCCCAAACACCACAAGGCTCTCATTTCTCTGTCTGACTCAGTAGCATGTCATCCCGTTTTTCTGCTGTTACGCACCGCACCAGTGCACCCAGGCAGAGCTTTGAGCTGCCAGACTCTCTCCGGACTTGCATCAGTTGGATCTTGATTCTTGTATCACCGGCAACGGCTAGGAGCCCCGGATCCAGGCAAAGGGACCTCGTCTAGCACAGTGCCCCCCCTCCCCCTCTTTGGGGGCTGTCTACTGCGGATATAGATGGTGGTAGAGTAGCACTAGTCTTGCAGCCCATGCTAATGCTCTAAGGGACATTCCCCACCCACCCCTGGCAGCACTTACATGGAAAGAAATCTGCCATCCTTTACAGTCTGGCCTACGTTCATAGAAACATACCTATTCCCTTCATAATTGTATAAGATGGAAGCAGATTGTTTCCACTGGTGAGTGAAACTAGAACTGGGGGGGGAATAGCCTCAAAATAAGGGGGAACAGATTTAGGACTGAGCTAAGGAGGAACTTCACCACCCAAAGGGTTGTGAATCTGTGCAATTCCCTGAGAAGCAGTTGAGACTTCCTCATTGAATGCTTTTAAAGCTAAGATAGGTAATTTTTATGAACAGAAAAGGAATTAGGAGTAATGGTGAGAGGGAGGGTAAGCGGAGCTGAGTCCATGAAAAGTTTAGCCACGACCCTTATTGAATGGCGGAGCAGAGTCGAGGGGTCAGATGGCCCAGTCCTGCTCCGGATCCTCCTGTTCTTATGTAAGTTTGACCCAGGATCCCCAGCGAGGTTGGGTGGGGGGGGTGTGGTTTGACTGTTAACTGCCTCTGAAATGTCTCCAAGCAGCCTCCCAGTTCGAGGGCAGCTCGGGAAAGGCCAGTGAATGCTAGCCTCGCTCAGCGTCTCGGGAGATCACGTTTTGATGGGAAACCAGCCATGTCTTCCCCGTACTATTTACAAAACTCTTCACTCTGCTGCTTGTGGAAATCTCCCCGACGTTGTGTTGCTGCAGTCTGCAGTCTCAGGGGGTGGGGAGCCATTGCAGGGACTGTTGCTATTTGCATTCTGAGCCCCATAACCGTGGCGTCTCCATCCCTACGGGCACGTTCGCTACCGTCTGCTGATGCTGTATCGTACCTGCCGTGGAAATGCTGCGTGAATTAATGCTGACGCTCTTTCACTTTCTGTCAGTAGCGCACGTTAAGGACATTCAGCCCATCGGGTCTGCCCCAGCTCTCTCTAGAGGAAACCAGTCTGCCCCCAGTGGATTATTCTTGCATTTCCAGTTGAGAGTAATGGTCGATAAATCCATAATAGAGCCTCTGGTTAATGACGCTCCTGATGAGAAACCTTGTGCTGCTCAGGTTAAAATTAAATTGACCCACACAGCATCTCCGGTTAGAGTTTTACATTTCAATTGGTTCTGGGGGCTCAGGGCAGCTGTATTCATTGTCCACCCGATGGGTACCACAGGGAGCGCCAAGAATTCTCAAAGTGCTCGATCCCTGCCAGTTTATTTCCCTGCAGAGTCTATCCAGTTTCCTTTTGGAATCATTCGCCATCTCCAGTTCCACTGCCCTCTGTTCCAGGTCACTACGACTTGCTGCAGAACAAAATGTTATTCCCCCACCAGGCTCATTGATCCAGACCCTTACATCTGCGTAGGAGCAAATTACTGCAGATGCTGGAATCTGTACGAAAGCCACCAATTCCGGAGATCACAGCGGCTCAGGGAGCTTCCGTGGAAAGAGAGCAAGCTAACGTTTCAAGTCTAGATGACTGTTCGTGCCTGACCCGCTGCGATCTCCAGCCTTTTGTTGTTTTCAGTTCGCCTTACATCTGTGTCCCCACCCTCCCCACCAATCCTTGTAGAAACAGCTTCTGTGTCCGCTGTTTCTAAACCCTGTCATAACCTTGTGCATCTTAATCAAATCTCCCCTCAGTAGGAGACTTGCAGCTGAAAGTCCTCACCCTGGAACCTTTCCTGGTCGATCTCCTCTGCCATGCTCAAGGGCTTTCCCAAAGAGTGGGGACTGCAACGTGACCCTAGACTCTAGTTGCTTGGGCTTGAGAAAGGAGCCTCCCTGACCTGACTGAGGTTGGCATTGCGGCACTGACCTTGGGCAGTCCTGCTCCAGGGCCTGGAACCAGATATTGTTGAACTTGAAAGAGTGAGGAAAAGATTAACAAGTACGCTGGAGGGTTTGAGCTACAGGGAGAGGCTGAATAGGCTGGGGCTATTGTCTCTGGAGTGTCGGAGGCTGAGGGAGTGACCTTTATAGAGGTTTATAAAATCATGACAGGTATGAATTGGGTAAATAGCCAAGGTCTTTTCCCCAAGGTAGGGTCATCCAAAACTAGAGAGGGCATAGGTTTAAGTTGAGAGGGGAAAGATTTAAGGTGAGGGGTAACTTTTTCACAGAGGGTGATGCATGTATGGAATGAGCTGCCACAGGATGTGGGAGGCTGGTACAATTACAACATTTAAAAGGCATCTGGATGGGTACATGACTAGGAAGGGTTTAGAGGGATATGGGCCGAATGCTGGCAAATGGGACTAGATTAATTTAGGATACCTGGTCAAGTTGGACCGAAGGGTCTGTTTCCGTGCTGTACACCTCTATGACCAGCATCAGTCAAGCAAATGTCTGACCCCTCATTGGTTTGAGAATTGTTGACTCTCCCTGTGGCACTGATCGGGTAGACCATGGATAAGGAAACAATCGGAATGTAAAACCGTACCTGGAGATGCTGTGGGTCAGTTTAAGGAAGTATTTTAACCCGAGCGGCACACGGCTTTCACCAGGAGAATGTGATCAGCATTAACCAGAGGCTCTTAAACAGATTTAGCTGAGCCCTGCAGCCATTACCCTCAGCTGGAAATGCTCGAGCTGTCCAATTCAAGCCCGTTTAATGTTCCGAGGGACTGCAGGTACCAGAGATCTCGGTAACGGGCAGCGTTTTGGGAAGGTTTGACCCTTCAGTGAAGGCCATGTAACATTAACCATGACCATCATCTCAGCTAGCATTGACAGTGACCATGATCTGTTATGGACCAGACTGGACCCCCCCTCAAAATATTTTAAGAAGGTAGACTAGACCCGAACTTTGTTATTTAAAAGGCAACGGTAAAGTGCTGTGTTCCAGATGCAGTGCGACTGGTCAAACTACTTGGCGTTAAGCAAAGCACAATTTATTCAAACACTGCAGTTAAAATACAACACTGGAAAGAATAAACTTAACTCTACTGGAAAACTTAACACAATATTAGATACAGTATCTGTTACTAATTAACTGTTGCAATATTGTCACATCCCACAAAGAGACCTCTTGGCATAAAGGCAGACTTGGAAAACCAGATTTTGTCTCACACGCAACCTAGCAGCCCAGGAAGAGAAACCCCAGCCTGTGGCTGTAACTGAGGGAGGGGACAAATAGCTTCCACATCATCAAGACCACAATAGCAACTGCTGAAAGCTGAACCCAAAAACCTTTTCTTAAAAAAACACTAGAAGTCCCGGTTCTGAGAGAGCTGGCCAAACCCAGCCAAGGCTGCTTCTATTGTTCCACTTCTTTAAAAAAAAAAAAATTCCCAAGGCTTCACAAGCTGTTTACTGGCTCTGCCTCACAACCTCTCATTTCTTTTTGAGAAAAAAGACATAACCTCATTTTAAAAAAAAGCCCAGCATCGACACCGGCCCAGTTAAGAGATGCAAACTTGGTTGCTGCTGGCTGCGACCATCCTTTGAGAAAGATTTGCAGATGAGGTCTCTGCACTGGAGCAAAGAGTATATCCCTTCCCTTCTGGTCCGGCAAGCCCAGCTGTTAATGATCTGTGAGGGTTTACCAATCCCCCTCAGGAATGAAGGAAGCAGAATTCCAATTAAACCAACTTCTTCAGCTCTCAGTTGCAGGAATTTTTGTTTGTATTTATCTTTCTTTCTCTTTTTTTTTGTTAACATCCCTACCTGTGAGAGTGTTTGCACTGAGAATGCAGTTTCGACCGCTGCTACCCAGACTCTCAGAGAGCCTGGATTACGCTGACTGGAGACAGTGCTGCACTGTACCCTCTGCTCCAAAGTCTTGAGCAATATTTGCTGAAGAATCTGTGCTGCCTTCCCGAGCCTCTTTTTGTCTGAGTTTGGAAACGGCGTCGTGCTGACAAATTGTTGTCAGCTCCCTACGATCGAAGGGGTGTGGGGATACCTTTCACTGTACTCATCTGAGTGCGTGTGACAATAAACTTAGTTCAACTCAGTGCGGGAAGCTGAGAGAGAGAGACAGTCGGCCTTGAGTGTACTGTACTGAAGGGCTGAATAGCCTCCTGCTGCCCTTATTTCTCTTAACCTGCGAGCAGAGGGAATGGTTTCTGTCAATCCAACGCTGTTATTTCCTTTGATCATCTCAAACATACCCATCAGATCGTTTCCTAATCCCCCAGGTTCGAGCAAATTCAAGCAATTTAACCCTTTTAGCCCCAGGATCATTCTGGTGAATCTGCTCCCCATCTGAGGCTGATACTTCCTTCCTTAGGTATTGGAGGCGGGGGGAACTAGGACTCAGCTGAACGCAGCATCTTCAGGTGGGTATCTGATGAGAACTTTATATAATTCCAGCATAACTTCCACCCCTCCCCCCAACCAAATGTCTTGTGGACGAGCCCCTGCATTTACATTGGACACTCCCAGACAGTTGCTGTGATTTTAAATATATATAGTTTCCATTCATGGCTGGCACATTGGGCGGAGGGGGAAGGGTATGAGCTGCTGGAGATCTGTGTTGGAAAGGAAGGACAGGAGGAGAGCTAACTGTTAGTCAGAGTCCAGGCTATGCTGGATTGTCTGGGGAGGTGTAGCTGCTCAGAAATGGAAACCCGCGCCCACCCCTGTTGTCTTATCATTCCCTGCCACTGAGATGCATTGCAAACTGTCCACAGCTCCTCACTACCACCATATCCCATCCCACAGGCAATCAGCCTGTCTAGGGCACTGGTCCCAAGCACTTGCCGTACAGGGTGCACTAGCCCCGTGCCCCATCATAACCGAGTGCCCAGCCTGGTCATCCCAGAGGGTTCTTGAACCTCAATGCTGCCCGGCTGAGCAGCGAGTCTCGCTGTTCCCAGTTGCCGTTTCTCCTCGCGTGTTAGCAAATGCGCTGTTTACATACATAATTGGGAAGTCGGAGGGGCTGGGGGCGCACATGGGACTCTGGCCACTGCTGAGCATTACCAAATTTAAAAAAAAAGGCGGTGACAGATTCTTGATCCGTCAGGGACTCGAGGGGAAAGTTAGCAGAGTCATATCAGCCATGATCCTATTGGATGGTGGAGCAGGCTGGAGGGGCCGAACAGCCGCCTCCTGCTCCTAATTCCTACGGTCTAATGCGAGGTGGGAGTGCGTTCCCAGCGTCGTCTCTTTCTCCCCGAATCCCACAGCCTCTGTTTACTGCACACTCCTGCCCAGCGCTGCGGCCTCTCTCCAAACTGTCCGGTTGTGCATGTTCAGTATGTGTTAAGTAACTTCTCAAACTCTGTAGAGCCAGTCAAGGAGCAGGAGTGTTTAAAATTAAGGTGCGATGGCTTCCTTGCTAATACTGTGGACCTGAATGTGTGTGTGGTGGTGGGTAATTCGTTTGATGTTTTGTTTCTAACTTGCTAACATGATGTGTGATGATGTGTCTGTGTTCATGGTTGATAACCAACGTATTTTGTTTCAAAAAGTGAGTTGCACTTGAGTTCTAATCACCTGAGCTGTGAAGTGAGTTACAATCATTGGTCTGACCATCCCTCAATCCAGGCACGCACATACAGCCGCCCAACACCAGTGTAGTCTCAGTCAATATGAGAAATGCCAACGTACGATGTGAGCCCGATTAGGGATTGCCTCTCATCAATCAACGTCCCTTCTTTTACCCTTCAGTATTCTGCTCCATTTTCCCATGGCCCCTAAACGAATCCTCGTCTCTGGTGTCTTTACTGGAGTGGTGTGATTTGGTCAAAGCCAAGGTGGTGGGACAAGTGGCAGGTTGTCTGGCCCAGTTTCCTGGATTAAGGGGCAGCGCGGTTTAGAAATTCAGGCACTGTCATGTAAGAGAGTAATGAGGGGAGAAATGGTGTTCATCTGAGGGTCATGTGTCTGGAATTCTTTCCCCAGGGAGCAGTGGGTGGGCAGGGTCCTTGGAGATATTTCAGTCCAATATTTTTTTGCTAATAAGGATCTATGGGGTGAACAGGAGGGTGGGGTTTGAGGCCACAATCGGCTGAGCCAAGAGCAGCCCCGAGGGTCTGAAGGGCCTGTAACTGCTCGCAGTTTGTCCAGAGTTTGAGAGATTGGGCCATCTGCTGCCTCCAGACCTGAAATCGTGGCCCCTCTCTCCTCACCATCAACACTGAGGTGGCCCCTCAGCAGAGGAGCAAGGACATTGCAGAGATCGAGGGCTGGAACTCAGTGACCCTGCTGGTCAGGTACGCCATCCCGTTCCATGAGACACTGAGCGCCTGGGGACTGGGTTCCTCCCCGTAACTCCTGGGTCACCAGTGCAGTGGCTGTATGATTTCACATGAAGGTGGACTGGAGCGAGGGAGGCAGGTAGAGAGCCTGGCTTGGCTACTTTCTGCCTTTGAGAACCTTTGCGGTACCTGCAGCACCAGGGTGCCTCACTTGGCACAGACTCTGCGTTATTCCCTGTAGCCTCTGAAATCAGTTCACCTACCTGGAGTTTGGGGAAGTTTGTGGTTTCAGACCCTCGTTCCCACATCTGTTTCACGCAAGAACCCCATAATAACGGGGGCTGAAGGTAACGGTTTACCTCTCATTTGTGTAGGGAAGTCATTCCTCACCTCTCCTTTGGGCCACAAATGGTTTGGAAAGCTTTGTGTTAGGCTCAGGCAACATCCGTCCCACAACATGAGCACCATCCCTTGAAAGTACGGTTACCACTTACTAGAAAGAAGGCACGGGGAGGGGTGGGTGGGGGTCAAGCAGAAGGGTCGTTTGCTGCAGCAATGCAGGGTTCGGCAGCATCTGTGAAACGAATGCAGTCAGCTACCTCTGGGACCCCCTTTGCACTGAGTTACCGTGACTGGATGATCCCTGGGAATCCAACAGTACAGACTAATCCAGAACGAGTGGTCAGGTTAAGCGGTTCCGAGATTCTCCATTCCTGAGATTCTGACCCGTTTCCATTGAAGTGTTGGTAAGGGAATAAATCTATTACCCCAGATAACACTACTGAAGCAAAGCACACTGTATAACTTGAAAGGACCTGATCTCCCAAAAAAGCATCAGAGAACAGGCTTTTGGTACAAAGACTTTTTTTTCTAAAGATATGTTTTGATGATAGAATGCACTTTATTTAAATGTAACTTATTCACTTTGTGGTATTGTTTTAACAAGGGGAAAACTGGAACTTTTTGAGTATTGTTTGTTTTCTCGAGCCGCTGTGTTTATTGTGACAGAGGGAGGAGTGTCAGGGTATTGTAACAATCAGTGTCACTACAGAGAAATCCCTTCCTTGCTGCGTGTTAATGGGCAGTACTTTTTGATTGATCTGTCTTAATTGCTTGTACCTTATGGTCATGGTGTGTCGCACTGTTGTAAATAAATGCTTGTTCATCAGCTGGTTGTTCCAGTCAGTCTATTCCACACTGGTTCCTGATACAGAAATACTGTGGCTACCACAGCGAGGCTGCAGGGGAGCAACTCACCTCCGGACTCCCCCAAAGCCTATCCCACCATCGACAAGGCACAAGTCAGGAGTATGAGGGAATACTCCCCACTTGCCCTGGATGGGGGCAGCTCCAACAACACTCAGGAAGCTCGACCCCATCCAGGACAAAGCAGCCCCCGCTCGATTGGTACCACATCCATAAACATCCCAGTCCCTCCCCCACCGATGCTCAGTAGCAGCAGTGTGTACCATCTACAAGATGCTCTGCAGAAATTCACCAAAGATCCTCAGGCAGCACCTTCCAAACCCACAGCCTTTACCATCTAGAAGGACAAGGGCAGCAAAGGACACCACCCCCTGCAAGTTCTCTTCCGAGCCAGACACCATCCTGACTTGGAAATATAATCGGTCCTTCCTTTAGTGTCACTGCGTCAGAATCCTGGAAAAGGCAGAACAGGTTAGCTCTCTACATTTCCCAGGACTGACGTACAAAGAGACACTGGATCAGTGAGGATTATATTCACGAGTTTTTAAAAAAAGTGAGGGAGGAATCTCAGACATCTTATATTTACCACTTGAACACGCCATGCTGTTCCCTAGCCACCATCTCTGCACTGTAGCAAGCCCGAGACAATGTAATACAGCTGATGGCTGTTTGTTTTGCTGCATTGCAAGGACAGAGCGGGTGTCAGTAACTCAGGTTCACTTAATGCACAACCCTTCAGTTGCTCTGAAGTCAAACTTGCAGCCTCAGATCACACCCCGCTGACTGACTCTTGGGACGAGGAGGTACAGGTCAACAAGCTGAGGCAAGGGAGCTGTCAGCATGAGTGAGATTTCCTGCATTTGTAAGCAAGTTAAGAACTGCAAAAGATATCAACATGCTTTTATTATCAAAAGGCCAACATTTGCTGCCCATCCTCATCCCTAGCACCACTGCCTGCTTGTACACTCTAGGGATTCTATCCCCAACAGCACCCCGAGAAGGTGGTATTGAGCTGCCTTCTTCAACCGCTGCAGTCCATGGGGTGTAGGCACCCCCACACAGCACCATCAGGGACGGACATCCAGGGGTTTTATCACGCGACATTGAAGGAACAGTGTATTTTCCAAGCCCGGATGCAATGGCGTGGAGACGAATTTGAGGGCAGTTGCATTTGTTGATGATTGCAAGTTTCCAAACCTGCAGCAAAAATATTCACACCCCCACACCATCACTGATGGGAACAAGAGAAAACAATGGAAATCGAGTGTGTACCAAACATTTATTGTGACTTGAAAAGTTATTATCTTAAACACCACAAGTTACAATTGAGAAGCAACAGCGAGTTCCACAGTACAGTAAAACTATCTAAATTTCTACCATTCTCTCTCCATTGTCTAAACCATCAGAGAGCAGAGTTTGAGGAAAGAGTCTGGAGACATTTACACCGATGCATTTTGAAGTATGTTTTTTTTTTTAAAAACTGGTTAATGCAAAAAAAAAATTGAAAGGGACAAAAATAAGTCTAATAGCTTCACAGTCGCAGCATTTTCTTTGTGGGGGAGAAGTGATAGAATAGTGATTGTCAAACCGTGACAAACGGAGTTTACAGTCGTTGCGAAGACGCCACACATTGCGTTCAATTACTCGCTGTACAACCGCGAAGGAACGAGAAACTGGCTGCTCCTAAACAGAACGTTCAGGAGTCAACTGCTGGAAATGATTTGCTGTCCAAAATCCGTGCAGGAAACGTGATCCACGCCATCAGGATCAGAGGTGGCTCCGTCGCTTTCTCTCTCTCACCGCTACCCTGTTACACTTCAACCACCTCATGAGGGTTATTGTGCCTTTTAACTACAAACACTTTCTGACCAGAAATTGTCGCCATATACGTGTGCTCTCCGAATACCACTGCAAGTGACAGAGTCCTGTTAGAGTTCGTGCCCAACTGCCCCCCGACCCTACTCTCACTCAACTCCAATTATCACAGGAAATAGGAACTGGAGTGGGCCATTCAGCCCCTCAAGCCTGGTCCAGTATCAAACTAGACTGTGCTTAGTTTTCTCCTTACACGTCAGTGTGGGGAAAACTATCTCCCTAATCTGCTGATACCTTCAATATCTGGAAAACAAAAAGACATACCGCAATCTGTCAGTAGAGTACACTTTTGGAAAAGTTACCTTGCCCACATGATGTGGTGTATAAGATGCTGAAGGGGATTGGCGAAGTAGACGAGGAGCAGATGTTTTCCCATGTGGGCCAATCTAGAACAGGAGGTGGCAGTTTCAGGGAGGTGGCAGTTTCAAGGTAAGGGACAGCAGATTTAAAACAGAGTTGTGGAGGAAACACTTCTCTCAAAGGGTCGGGAATCTGTGGAATTTACTCCCCCAGAGTGTGGTGAATGCTGGGACACAGTAAATTTTAGGAGGAGATAGATTTTTAATTAGTAACAGGTTGAAGGGTTATGGAGAGCGGGCAGGAAAGGGCAGAGATGATTGTACAAAATGGCACAGCAGGCTCAAGGGGCTGAATGGCCTACTCCTACTCCTAGTTCTTATCAAAAGGATAAAGGGTAAGAAAACAACAATGTAGATACAAACGGGCAGAGCAACAGCACAGCTGAGAGGAGCTCACTCTCCACCCAGAGTTACCAGATCTCAATGAAGTGAGAAAACAGGTGAGATTTTTATCTACATTTTCATGGATACAATCCCATTCCAAGTCACGTTACCAGTCCAAGTCTGGATAACCTGTTACTTAGGTTTGACTGTAAACTGGGACTTTTTCCCCTGCAGCGTCAGAGGCTGAGGGATGACCTTGTAGAGGTTTATGAAGTCACAAAGGGTATAGTTAAGGTGAATAGTCAGGGTTTTTTCCCAGGGGTGGGGCAATCCAAAGCTAGAGGGGCATAGGTTTACGGTGAGAGGGTAAAGATTTAAAAGGGACCTAAGGGGCAACTTTTTCACACAGAGGATGGTGTGTGTGTGGATTGAGCTGCCAGAGGAAGTGGTAGATGCAGTTACAGTTACAACATTCAAAAGGCATCTGGATGGTACATGAATAGGAAGGGTTTGGAGGGATACGGTTCAAACGTAGACAAATGGGGCTAGTTTAGTTTGGGAAACTTGGCACAGACGAGTTGGACCGAAGGATCTGTTTCTGTGCTGTCTGACTCTGACCCCTCACCACCCCAACCATAACGTTTAGTGTTCGTAATTTCATCACTGCAATTGTTGATTTTCTTTACTATCTCATTTATTGTGCGCCCCTTTCTAAGGCTTGACACATAACAGTTCTCTGAGCCGACACTAGATGGCTCCCATCAGCTGGGTTTAAGAGGACTTCTCTGCAAAGTGATGTACCGATTGGCCTGTTTCTGTGCTGTTCCGAGTGTCGGCTCATTTAACTGCCATTTCCCTGTGGTTACACGAAGCAAATTTCCTTCACGTAGCCTCTCAGCTAACACTGACCCACACGATCGGTTTTCCAAGGAGGTAGATTCTTAATATCCAAACTAAACAGTTAGGGGCAGACATCAGCAAGTGCCTTACCTTGAAAAAAAAAAATGGGTGGCACAGTTGCTCAGTGGTTAGCACCGCTGCCTCACTGTGCCAGGGACCTGGGTTTGATTGCAGCCTCGGGCGACTGTCTGTGTGGAGTTTGCACAGTCTCCCCGTGTCTGCATGGGTTTCCTCCCACAGTCCAAAGATGTGCAGGTTAGGGTGGACTGGCCGTGCTAAATAGCCCGTAGTGTCCAGGGACGTGCAGGCTAGGTGGGTTAGCCACGGGAAATGCAGGGTTACAGGGATGGTAAGGGAGGGGGGGCAGGGTTTGGGTAGGATGCTGTTCGGAGGGACAGTGGTGCCTCGATGGGCCAAATGGCTTGCTTCCACACTCTAGGGATTCTGAGAGTGCTAAATCTGGACCTTTTCTCTCTCCTGCCCATCCTTCTCCCCAGACTAAAAGAAAAGCACATGCTCAGACTGTTGGTGTTGGGGAAAGTGTCACAGGCTGAGACGAATTGACGGAGTTATGGTACTAACATCAGCCTAGATCTCCTCAAACGGCAGGACAGGGCTGAACGGCCTTCCTCACCTCTCCCCTGCATGTTCATACAAGGAGGGAGAGTGTCTGGGGAGTGAGCTGGGATCCCGCACTGACCAAGGAGAGCTGTCTGTATGGATTTTGTACAACTATTCCGCAGCGTTTAAACCTTCGCCATCCCCACCACCGCCTGCAGCCACAGGGAGTGTTTCTCAGTACAGAAACATGGCATACTGCTTCCTGCTCCTGCTCTGACTTCTCCCCAGTCCACCCTCCTGTTCCGTTTCCCCCACCCCCTCAGCACTGCCCGGAGCTATTGTGCAGCATGCTAACGTACCAGACATCCTCTTGAAGAAAGGCTCGCTGTTGCCATTCATGCAGAGTTTGACAGCTGTCTGCATCATGCGCATGATCACTCCCGCAGCGTGTTCATCGTTCTCCAGCTCGCCTGCTGACTAAACCGAAACACGAGTGTTAGATGGAGACACAGGTCTTGCAAACCCCAGAGCACCACCCAGCTCACCCGCCGGCTGTCCCAATACCGAAACCAGGCTTGGAACCAGCGCCAAAGTGCAGGCTGTGCCTCCGTGCTGGTTCCCTCAGCCACTAGCCCTCCCCGTTCCCCCTCCCCTGGCTACCACGCCCCCACCCACCCCGCTACTTTCCCACCACCCCTGGCCAGGTCTCCCTCAGCTCCTAGCCCTTCCCAACAATCCCTCCCCT